GGAGAAGTGGTGCCTCGATGCGCACCTGGGATCCGAACCCGGGCCACCAGCATTGCAGCGCGCGCACTTAACCACCAAGCCACAGGGCCGGCCCTAATCTATATTTTTAATAAGGTCAAAATTTTTATCACTTAATAATTCTAGATGTTTTAATTGAGAAATTGCTTTCAGACAGATGGTTTCCTAAGCATACAGTTCAAGACTGTTCTAGAGAATTCTTAGGAGTTAACTCTTAATAGATGAGATAGAATATAAGGAACAATGAAAATAATAGGCAGATTGACATTCACTTTGATAAAAAGCTTTAGTAAACTTTTATTCTCCCCCTCCTACTCTAGCCATACAAGAATTGTGTTGAAAAGAGCAGGGAGAGATGGCTGGAGCCAAGACTAGGCCAGTGCTCTGCTGCTTAGAATTCTGCGCTTTTGGCTCCTGCTTTGAAGCACACTACCTGATTTAGTCAGGGATTCCTAACTTTTGTGGTGTCATGAACTCCTTTGGCAGTTTGGTAAAGCCTATGAACCCCTTCTCAGAATAATGTTTTTAAATTAATAAAATATGTAGAATTATAAAGGAAACCAGTTATTTTGAAAAATAGTTATCAAAAATGTTTTTTAAATATTTGATGATGTAATATATGTGCATTTTTATTAATGCATTAAATAAAAGTTCTAGTGGTGAGTCTGGTGACTACCATAATTTCAAACTAGTGATGAGTATAAAGGATATTTTGAGATATCTGTAATAACTGTAATGTGATATGAAAATGTGTGATTTCTGTTGTGAATTAGAAATGTTAAATTTCAGTTAGGGTTTAGTGAGAATAAAGATGTAATTCTTTTCCTGTGCGTGTTCACAGTTATCAGACCCTCTGAGATGCTGATGGGTGGAGATCCCTTCAGCCACCTTCTGTTCTCTTCAGACCCAGCTTTTGATTTGGAAAAAATAAATAGCTCAAGGGGGAATGCAGTGGTGTGGAAGGGAATGGGTGTGCAGCAGAGAGGAACAAGAACTAGAGGACAAGTAAGACAAGTCAGGACTATGCAGCAAAATTGTAACAGAAGGGGAGTTGCCTTTTTTTTTTTTTGAGGAAGATCAGCCCTGAGCTAACATCCATGCCAATCCTCCTCTTTTTGCTGAGGAAGACCGGCCCTGAGCTAACATCTATTGCCAATCCTCCTCCTTTTTTTCCTTTTTTCTCCCCAAGGCCACAGTAGATAGTTGTACGTCATAGTTGCACAACCTTCTAGTTGCTGTATATGGGACGCCGCCTCAGCATGGCCGGACAAGCGGTGCGTCGGTGTGCGCCCGGGATCTGAACCTGGGCCGCCAGTAGTGGAGTGCGCACACTTAACTGCTAAGCCACGGGGCTGGCCCCGGGGAGTTGCCTTTTAAAATATTAAACAATCCTAACCAGAGCAAAACCTGATGGATGTTTCAAATCTTTCTCCCAGCTCAGATTTGAGCAAACTAGATTTCTGATAGTAGAAAAGGACTTTTTGCTTGCAAGTCATTCTTCTAGATTCTAGAACATTGTGCAAAATTTTTTAAGCTACCTACATGAAATTTCCTTAAAGTATGTATAAACATATTTTTGAAAAAAATTATTACATTACCTAAATGTATAGCAATACATTTTGAAAATTTCTACCCCTGCCTAATCCAGTACTCTTCCTATCCACCTAAAATGATGTTTTTTTCTCCATTGTAGGCTTGATTCTGCTCATTTCCTTTTACCAAATACCTGTCAATCCCAGACTCTCCGCAGTGACTTGTTTAACCTACAGATATCATACTGCTGGTTAACAGACTATTCTCTCCTTTCCCTATCCCCAGCCCTACCCTTTTTTCCTTAGGGAAAAATCTGTAATGGAAACAGTTGACACCTAGAGTTAACCAACAATAGAGAAAACTAAAGCTCTTGGCTAAATTTCCCCACACTTTATTCAGTTTTGTCCTAAATCTATTGGAAACCACTAAGGCAGTCTTTTGAATGTTTTAGTTCTTGGTTCTTCATACTTTTTTTTTTCTTGGTGAGGAAGATTGGCCCTGAGCTAACACCTGTTGCCAATCTTCCTCTTTTTGCTTGAGGAACATTGTCCCTGAGCTAACATCTGTGCCAGTCTTTCTCTATTTTTTGTATGTGGGACGTCACCACAGCATGGCTTGATGAGCGGTGTGTAGGTCTGCACCTGGATCTGAATCGGTGAACCCCAGGCCGCCAAAGCAGAGTGTGTGAACTTAACCACTAGGCCACCAGGCTGGCCCCAGTTCTTCATACTTTTTATTTATTTTTTGTGTGTGTGAGGAACATCAGCCCTGAGCTAACATCCATGCTAATCCTCCTCTTTTGGCTGAGGAAGACCAGCTCTGAGTTAACATCTATTGCCAATTCTCCTCCTTTTTTTTTTTTTTCCCCAAAGCCCCAGTAGATAGTTGTATGTCATAGTTGCACATCCTGCTAGTTGCTGTATGTGGGACGCCGCCTCAGCATGGCCACAGAAGCGGTGCATTGGTGCGTGCCCGGATCCGAACCCAGTCTGCCAGTAGCAGAGCGCGCGTGCTTAACCGCTAAGCCACAGGGCCGGCCCCCAGTTCTTCATACTTTGAATTGAAAATTCCCTTTGCCCTTCAGGCCTGTAGGCCTAGCCTGGAAGGATTTTAGATCTTAAGCTGGCTTTAGTTGTGATAGTGCTCAGAGCAAATTTGGGGAAAGCTACTTTCAGGTAAAATAAAGGAACTTAAACACTACAGTGTTGCTTTCTTGACTGGATAGGAGCTGGGATGGAGCCAACTCCTGTCTATTTGGCTTGCAGTCAAGAAGAGCTGCGGAAAAGAGGGCTATGAGTATAGTGTTTGGTGGGAAGTCTGTATGTATCTGATGAGGAGAGTCAAAAGAGGGGACTAACCAATTATTATTTTTAGAAACAAAAAGACAATAGAACCATGTTTCAGAGCCTCACTGGTGAAGGAGCTATAGGAAACTGCGGCATTCAAGCTGTTATTGTGTTGCAAGCATGTTTTAGTGAAGGAACAGGCCAGCCTGCCTCAAAGGGAATTTTGGGAGTATCATTCTTTTGAATTACTGCTGTTCATCTGTTCCCTTCCCCTCCCCTTTCTAAAGAAGGGGTGGGAGCATAAATTATTGTCCAGTAACCCTGTCTTATTTAGTCTTAAACTGGGGCAGACCTGGCCTCACCTTTTCATTGTCCTTTCACCCAAACCCCCAAATAAATAAAATCTCTGTACCATCTCCTTTTCCCTTCCCTCATTCTGCCTACAGGCTTCTCCCTACCCTAACAAAAAAATTTTTTTGCTTGCATTTTTATTCTGCCATTATATAGCTAGCAGCACTGCACTGGCCCCTTTACGGCTGATGGAGCCCAGGCGGGCTACCCGATGAGGGAAGACAGCATTTGGCCGATGGGGCTGGTGTGTGCCATTACTGCTGGCCATTGGGCCTCTGTCCTCCACAGCTCCATCCTGGCTCATTAAAACCCTGAGCCAAATAGCTAAGCAGGCGCCTGCTGTAGCGCTGTGGGGGCCAGGAAGTTAAATGGTTCTCCTAATCCTGCATAATTTATCTCCCTGTTAGCCCCCTCATAAATAGTCCAGTTCAGCCCCACTGTGGAGAGCTTCATTCTGAATTTCCTATTTTTGTGATGACCAACAAGTGCCCAGCCTTTCCCTTCTTCTCTCCTTATTATTATTATTAAAAATTATTTTCCCTTTGTTCGCTACGAGTTTGCCTTAATGTTTTTTTCATTTGGAGCCTCCTGCCTGGACCCCACTTCACCAACAATCTGTCCACTTCTCTCGTTTGGACCTGATATTACAGAGCAGTTGGTGCTACGGTCTTCCCCGTCTCCTCTCCTCCCAGCTTTCTAGTGCCTCTTTTTCTCCTTCCCCTTTTCTCTTTTTTAATCCATCTCCTCTCCTTTTCCATCACTTCCGGTTTTTTCTCCTTTCCGTTCCCTCTGCAGTCCATGTTTCCAGGGACCAGCCTTATTGAAGGGTGTTTGGTAGGACATTTTAAAAGGGCACTGAATCGCTTATTTTTTTTCACATCTCCATTCTGTTTCGTTTCAGAGATTTACAAACGAGGACCACCTGGCAGTTCATAAACACAAGCATGAGATGACATTGAAATTTGGCCCAGCCCGAACTGACTCAGTCATCATTGCAGGTATTCGTGCCCCAGAAGCCGCGTGCCCTGGTATCACCAGACAGTCAAGATTAATACCAGGGACCAGATGTACTGGGAGCTATACGCCCCTTCTCCCGTTAAGAGCCCTTATGTGATCTGCATTTAATCAGGAAATAGGAACACTAAAAGCTCCCAAGTTTCTATTGTGCCTTTCACTCTCTGTTTTTAACACAAGATTGGGTTCTGCGGTTTTTGAGGGTAGGTGTGTTGAGGTTTTGTCTTAGCTTTTTTCCGTCTATTCCCTCCTTACCTTCTTTTTATTAAGACTTTGGAAGATTTACAGACAAAAGACGCTTTTGACATTTCCCCTTACCCACAGTGAAGGGAGGAACAAAGGAAAGCCAGCCTCGCCCAGCTGCACCTCTTCCACCGGCTGTCAGTTTTCCCTGAGCAGACAGGTTGTCAACTCGTAAATTCAACTTCCCTTGTGAGCCCAGACACCAGTGAAGGCACGTTTCCAAACTGAAACAAGACGTTTAGTCAATGGGACTTTTCTAAGCCAATTTGGGTGACCTGGAACCTCTCACTGGTTGTTTTGTTTTTTTTTGTGTGAGGAGGACTAGCCCTGAGCTAACATCTGATGCCAATCCTCCCCTTTTTTCTTGAGGAAGATGGGCCCTGAGCTAACAACCGTGCCCATCTTCCTCTACTTTATATTGGACGCCGCCACAGCATGGCTTAACAGGCGATGCGTCAGTGCGCGCCGGGATCCGAACCTGTGAACCCCGGGCCGCCGCAGCGCGAGCACTTAACCGCTTGCGCCACCAGGCCGACCCCTCGCTGGTTGTTTTAGATGTTGTCTTGCTTACATATGCCATTCTCAAGGGAGCTTTCTCAGCAACTGCTCTCAAACCGTGCCGCAGTTCTGTTGTGCCATTTTCAGCTAGACAGACATACAAACCAAAGTGCGCTTTTCTTTTGATACCATGAGGCGTTTGTTCTGATTTAGCCTGAGTTAAGCAAGTTTACCTCAATATTTAACCAATAGGGAATTTAGTTGGCGATTTTTCCATCAGTTAATAACTCAGGTAAGGCACAATTTCTCTAAGTACTGCTAGCCAAAATGCTACTTGAGACCTAGAGGAGACAGAGAATCTCCTCTCCATACTTCTATACATGAAGAAAGGGACTTGCCTTTACCGATCTCCTACTCCTTATTAATTCAGCGAATAGTTATAGAATATCTGCTGTGTGCACCAGGCCCTTTGCTAGGACCTTGGATTGTAATTCCTGGAAAAGGACATGAGTGGGGACATTGTCACTGATGATCCTTAAAGCCTGGGGGAAGTCTGAGGGAAGAGTAGATAGGGTGTAATTATAAATGTAGGTAACACATACTTAACTTTATTAAGTTAGGGCATGTATCCCGGAAAAAATTTTAGTATTTGCAGTCAAGTACAAGTAAACAATACAAACAATATAAATACTAAGAGAATTAATATTAAGCAGAATTAATCAGAGAAAGTTTATGAAAGAGGTAGATTTGAGGCAAGGTTATCAAGTTGGAGAGGTCATTCCAAATGGGTGGAAAGGCCTGTGCCGAGTCTCCAGGAGTTGTAAGAGAAGTTGATACAGGACAGTCCCAAGGAGAGAAAGTGTTTTCCTGCTGTTCTTTGCATTCTGATCTGGAGTGCTCATCCCATTGCGCATGACTGCAGCTATCTTATCTAGGCTGATAATTTCATATCTCTAAATTAAGACCTGGTGTCACATGTATCCCAACCCTTACTGAACACTTTCTTGGCTGTCTTTCTTGTCATTCAAATCTTTATGTCGATGAACAAACTTATCTCCTTGTCCCCTAAACCAACTCTTTCTCCTTCATTATTCAGTGATATCAGTATTCTCAAAATCTTGAGTTGTTTTATTCTTTCTTCACATTTTCTATATTCTATTCCTTCCTGTTCTTCCTGCTGCCACCCTCATTATGCTTGGATTCTTTCCTAGCCTTCTAGCTGGCCTCCTTGACTAGTCCCTCATTCTAATCCATCTTGCATTCTGTTGAAAAGCCAATCTTCCTTAAATTCTTCTCCTGTGTTCAAAATCTGTCATTATCTTCCTATTTTATTTTCTCTTACTTTAAGGCTATTTGAACTTGGATTTTTAGGCCTTCCATAACCTAGACCTATGCTACCTACCCAACTTTCTATACAACTTACCTAACACGATTATCTTTTGACCTCATCTATACGTGGTGCCCATACCCTGCCTCCCTCTGTGCCTTCACCTGCCTTACTCCTCTTATCCTCCAAATCTTCTCTTCTCTCTACCATCTAAAGCCATTCTTCAAGGCCCAGCTCAAGTCCCACTTCTTGAAAGCTTTCCTAACTACTTTGTCATTAATTTGTCTTTATTTAATTTCTACAACAAGTTTATTCTCTGTTGCACGTGGCAGCTGTTTTTTGTATACTATGATGCTATCTATGTATATTAGTTTTATTTCCTCAACTAGAAAACATTCTCTTAATTCTCTAGGACAAGAGCCATGTTTTATATTTGGGCAAAACTCCTGTATTCCTGTTCTTCTCCTCCCCCAAATTTACGCACAAGTATGTGCATGTGGCACTGAAATACATAGAAAGTATTCAGTAAACACTTGTTGACTTCTTTGGAATCATCAGAGCAGGCTAAGGGTTTTCTTATACATTTTCAGGCGATTTGGCTGTTTGTTCAGAAATGGGAGAAGTTTGTATGAGCCTCAGATCAGAGATCCAAAAGGCCCTTTTCTGCCATAGCCATGCCCTTAGCTGCCCCGACCTGCTCCTCTTGAGTTGTGATTTTTTTGTGTGCCCTTACTGAAATACTCTCTAAGCATAAAGGATATTACCTCCACTCACCCAGGGATGGAGGGAAGGCGGCTTTATCATTGGCCAACCAAAGCAGCCAGAGAACCTTTTAAAACTATTTTGAGAGGTAGTGGTAACTTTTCCAAACACTCTCATTCAGAAGAGGTTTTGTTTAAATTTTTAAAAAGTATGTTGTTTCCATGGAAAATCCCACCGGGCTATTCCCAATTGATCATGCTAGAAGGAGCAATTTTAACCCCCGGTCTCACTCCTTAAAATATCATTTAAACATTGTTTTATTTCTGTCATTCAGTCTAGTGGTTTGGGGTATGAGATGAGTCCCTGAGCTGACTAGTGTGTCAAGGAAAACCATAATAGAGTTAGGATCAGAGAAGAAGATCCAACTGACCCAACAGAGAAAAACCAGAAAAGCAGAATGGGGAGAGAGAAGTTCAAATCTAAAATTCAGTTTGCTTGAAAGGTTCCCATGGGTTACGAAGAGGCTTCCTCTTCCCAAGGGCAGAGGCAGTGAGTTGAGGAAAGATTTGTGCAGCCCCTGAGAGGATATTTTGGCTGGCAAATCTCAATCTAAATATCCTGGTTTCCGGAATTTTCTCTGGGCCCCAGTCTCTGTGAAATGAGCTCTATTGTTTACAGTTTCCTTTTCTAGCTCATGATCTTGCTGTCTTGTTCTCCAGCCCCTAGATTTGCCTGGAATGCCTTCAGAAGGTAACAGACCCTTAGCTCAGTGACCGCTGAAAGACAAGGCATCATTTCTTATTTGGTAGCTTTAGCAAGCAAGTTCAACCATCTGATCCTCAGTTTTTTCTCGTCATTAGATTTTAACATCCATCTACTTATACCTGCTCACTTCAGATCTAGCAGGGAGTAAATTTAAAAAGAAAATGTCACTTAACTGTACTTGATTTTCAAATCTAGAGGTTTCACAGACTCCACCTGAGTGGCTGGTTTTGTTTTGTTTGGAAGTAAGGGAGTGGAAACCAACCTCTGGGAGAAAGGTGGTTAAATGGAGAGTCACACAACAAAATGTTGTGCTGTCTTCCCTCTGCTGGCCTTGAGGCAACACAGCACAGACACCCTCTGGAGGCCTAGCACCAGCCTTCACGTGCTAGAGCTCTGTAAAAGCAAATTTGCCCCAACACAGAGACCCTCTCCCAATAGAAGAATAGAAATATGTTCTCTGTATACTCTCAAATTTTAATTTCAGGTCAAAACTGAAATAGAGTTTTCTTTTCTTTTCATGTCTACAGATCAAACTCCTACTCCGACTAGATTCCTGAAGAACTGTGAGGAGGTGGGGCTCTTCAATGAACTAGCTAGCTCCTTTGAACATGAATTCAAGAAAGCTTCAGATGAGGAAGAAAAAAAGGCAAGAGGCGGGACTTTTGCTGAAAAACTGGTGGTAATCAGGTCTAGGCTATTTTCATAGTGCCCTGGGATAATTTGCTAATTGGTTAAAGCACAGAATTAGGGGATGGATCTTTAGAACCATGTAGTATTCACTAATCCTAGTCAGCCATCCAGGTCTTTGAGGGGTCCAGATGGCGGATCAGCACAGATCTGTCTTCACCAAAAGTCAGTCTTCTTGCCCTTCGAGTGGAGCATTAGTTCAATAATCTACTTTTTAAAAAATTATTTCTGTTCTGAATATGTTGACGATGTTAAAAGATTATAAATTACTCAGATTTTGTTGGATTTTTTTTTTTTTTTTTGCCAAACCCCACTCTTCTCTGAGCTAATCAGTCTTCTCACCTGGACTGTTCTCGCTCAATCAGCCAGTCAACAAACATTTATTGAATTTACGTCACTTGAGGAATGTTTAAAGAAATTGAGGAAGTTTTGCTTGGAAAAGAGAAGATTTAGTGTAAACAAAATTGCAGTCTTCAAATATCTGAAGAGCTTTCATGTAAAAGAGGGGTTACACTTATTCTTTGTGGCTCAGATGAAGAAGTAGGAGCGGCAGGTGGAAGCTATTGCACAGTGTGTTCAATTCTGTGTCAGCCACTGAGCATAAAGACTGTAGAGAGGTTTACGATGTTAGAATCCCTTCAGATTCTGAGGTGCTGTGATTCTGATTTTAGCCTTTATATTCCAGATCCCTAAAGAACCCTTTAGTTTGAAAGACCAGGGGAAATAGTTTAAGAGGCAGAGTCAAAGAAAAATAGTTCCCGTGGAATAAGAGGTTTTGGAGAAAAAGGAAACTGGAAAGATCAAAGTCTACTTTGGAATTAGAATTCTAGGTTATTAGTCACTATTTAAAATCAGGTCTGTGTACCATAATAATTCAGAAAAATTCCAGTGTCTCTATCTCAAAACATATATACATTAACACATGTGCCTCCCATAACTGCATGGTGCAGTGAGGCATGGATTCCCATCAGAATATAGAAAAGCCCAAGACATAAGAAAAAATTTCCAGGGGAGCTCTTTCCCTCTAAGAGGGAGATAGCAGGCAAATCAAAACAACTGTGCATGCTTTTTCCATCCAGCTTAAATTGTAAGAATGCAAGATAAAGTATCATTGGAGATCTTTCCGAGTTCCATAGCTTTCTAGGAGCTTCATTTCATGCTATCTCCCTCAAACGGGGGGGAAAAAAATAGGGAAACTCAGTGGCATATATTTGTAGTTCTACTTTCAGATGGCTTGTCATTCTTTTTCTTTAGAGACCTAAGTCTCTTATCTCTCGGTTGCTTCAACCTATATGGTATAATTTTATTTCACAGCTACCCTACCTCATCCCCCTGTCATTTCTCCCTCCTCTAAAACAAATCAGTCGGGCCAGCCCCGTGGATTGGCTGTTGAGTGCGCACGTTCTGCTGCTGGCGGCCCGGGTTCGGATCCCAGGCGCACACCGCCGCACCGCTTCTCCAGCCATGCTGAGGCCACGTCCCACATGCAGCAACTGGAGGGATGTGCAGCTATGGCATACAACTGTCTGCTGGGGCTTTGGGGGAAAAATAAACAAATAAATAAATAAATAAAGATTAAAACAAATCAGTCAAATTGTTTCTACCAGGATGTGAGGGATTTTAAACCAAACTCGTTATAGGCAAATTCAAGAAAATTAACCTCCCTTTACAAGCTTCAAGTCTTTCCTCTGCCATTGGAGCTCAGTTGACACTTCTGGGAGGCCATTCATGGTTGGTCAGACATTTGCTCATTGGGCATCCTTCAGTGATTCTTCCTGCCTGTACAGGGGTGGTCTTCACCTCCCCTTGATGAGAAGCACAGACTGGGTGGAAGATTGTCTCCAGGAGTGTTTAATGAACCCCAAACTTGCGTGAACCACAGCTTTTCTAGGAGATGCCCCTAGGGGATTTTAAACCTTTGGTTGTGTTTACTTAGGGGCCTTTCCTTCCCCCCTCCCTCTGACTTCAGGGATCCCAGAATTAGCTCAATTGGGCTGACATCTTAGCAATGTAGACAAAATGAGGGCAGAAGTGAAACCATCTTTGCTGTTGCTCACCCCCATTAGATTGGAGAGAAAGACCATTACCACTTTTTCTAATGTAGCAGACACCAGATTATCTTCAGTTTGCTCAACTACCAAGAAGGTTTCTAGGAATTAAGGTAGCAAGGGAAGAGTTAGAAACAAGCTCCTCTTTCACCAAGAAGCCTAGAATGTGGGAAGAGTAGAACAAAGGATCCACTTTGCCGTGAAACTGAACTGCAGTGCCAGTGCTCCTGACGTGGCGCAGTGTCAGGGCTGTCCTCTCAGATGGTTTATTGTTCCCTGCAAAGCCATTTACGGCTCCACGGTTCTGTGAGGTGATTGCACTACTGGCGGAAAACTACTCTCTTTCCTTTCTGGTTTTCTCCAGCCCTGCTCCTAGGACCAAGTTCTAATTTCTTTCACTGATCAAATGATCAGGCTTTCCTTTCTTTGTTACCTTACTGCAAAACCCTGTCTTGTTTTTTTTGGTAAGGAAGATTAGCCATGAGCTAACATCTGTTGCCAATCCTCCTCCTTTTGCTGAGGAAGATTGGCCCTGGGCTAACATCCGTGCCCACCTTCCTTTACTTTGTATGTAAGACGCCTCCCACAACATGGCTTGATAAGTGGTGCGTAGGTCCGCACCTGGGATCCGAACCCGCAAACCCCAGGCGGCCAAAGCAGAGCATGCAAACTTAACCACTACACCACTGGGCCAGCCCCAAACCCTGTCTTTCTAACTTCCAGCCTCTAACACCTGATTTTAGGGTGAGATTACCATCAAGCATGGGGAGTTCCCCAGAAAAGATCTTTCCTATCTTGTTTGCAGTACTTTAATAGCCAATTTGTCTTTGTTTCCTTTTTGTTTTTTGTTTGTTTGTTTTTAATTTTATTTATTTATTTTTTTCCCCCAAAGCCCCAGTAGATAGTTGTATGTCATAGCTGCACATCCTTCTAGTTGCTGTATGTGGGACACGGCCCCAGCATGGCAGGAGAAGCAGTGCGTCAGTGCGTGCCCGGGATCCAAACCCGGGCCGCCAGCAGCGGAGCGCGCGCACCCAACCGCTAAGCCACGGGGCCGGCCCTGTTTCCTTTTTGATAATTGGGTAATCTAGTCATTCTGATTGGCAGAAAAAGTATTCACAGCTCTCCAGTGGCCAGCAGAGCTGGTTGAGAATAGGCAGGCACTGGATTTAGGAATCATTTTACTTTCCTGAAAAAGAATATAATCATAATATTTGCATGGATTTAAATGGCATCTTTTTTTTCTTTCAGGGTCTTGATAAGCATTATAAGTATTTTTTTCCTTTTAGAATCTGTATAAGTATTCACCCCTGGCGAAGCAGGTGTTACCCTCCTTCTGTAGTTAGGGAAGCAGAAGCCCTGAGAAGTTACAACGATTTGGCCAGAGCTGTTCATAAAACCTAGGTTCCACACTTCTTTGACTTGCAATTTGGTGCTTTGACCGAGGGCTGAACTTCATAGAAGTATATTCCCTCATCTTTCAACTGGAAAGATATGGATTCAGCCTGAAGGGAATCATGGGGTTGAACTATCCTTGTTTCTTCCTTTTAACAGGCTACTGCTGGGCCCCTTGACATGTCTCTGCCTTCCACACCAGACATTAAAATCAAAGAGGAGGAGACGGTGGAGGTAGACTCATCCCCACCTGACAGCCCTGCCTCGAGCCCCTGCTCCCCGCCACTCAAGGAGAAGGTAAACTCCCCGACCAAGAGTCACCCAAATGTTAATTGAGAGATTAAGTTTTGAGTCATTAGTTGTAAACAGAGTGTGTGATACAGGAGGATTGATTATATTTAAATAATTGTTAACTGTTTAGAAGATTTATATAAATTACACCTATTCTCTGACCCAGCAATTCTACTTCTAAGTCTATATGGAAATGAAATTAGTCCATATGTCCACTAAAAGAAGTATATAAGAATGTTCATAACAGTTGTAGTCATAATAGTCAAAAAACTGGAAGTAGTCCAAATGTCCATCAACAAGAGAATGCGTAAATAAATTGTGTTATATGTCTAAAATGGAATACTACACGGCATTACAAAACAATGAACTAATGATGTTCAGCAATGTGGATGAATCTCACAAATGTTATATTGAACAACAACAACAACAACAAAATTCAGACATAAAAGTACATACTATATGATTGCATTTACTTCAGGGTCAAGAAGAGGCAAAACTATTTGATGATGATAGAACTCAGAATAGTGTTTACCTCTTGTGAGGGAAGGTATGGATTGGGAAGGGAAACAGGCAAACCTTACAGGGTTCTGGAAATGTGCTGTGTGTGATTTTACATATGTAAAAATCAATTAGTTGTATCCTTTAGATTAATGCACTTTACTGTATGTATGTTGTACTTCAATTAATAAGTGAAAAAGAAAAATCACATAATTCATAAATTGGACATTAAACAATTTAGAAAAAAAGTCTTTCCAGAGGGAAGTCTTCTAGTGACTCAAAGGGAATACCTACTAGGATTCTGAGTATTACTTTTTAATATTTAAAAATACATAATACTTTTTATGAAGTATTATTTTTATTAAATTTATTGAAATACAGTACACGTACAGAAAAGTATACAAATTGTAAGCATACGTCACTGAATTTCACAAAGTCTACAGTCTGTGTACCCAGCACCCAGATGTTATCAGAACCTCAAAAGGCCCTCATGCCTCCTTCCAGTGTCTCCTGCTCTGCCAGTGGTTATTCACTTTAGCATCTACTGTGGATAGAGCGTCTGCACCTCGCTTTACCTCCCTCCAAATCTGGTTTGATAACCTCCCAAAACTACCCCCTCCATAAACATGACAACCATCCCCGCTCCCTCCCCTTTTCATCAGCAACCAGGTCCTAGAGGCTGTCTAGAGATGGTTTCAGGGCCAGTGTGGCCGCTGGCAATCTAAGATCCTAACAAGTTAGCAGTGGGAAACAGTTTGTTTTATTACAACATAATCATTATTCAAACTTCCATAGCCTCACTTCCCCTCCCCCCCCTTTTTTTTTTTGGTGAGTAAGATTGGCCCTGTGCTAACATCTGTGCCAGTCATCCTCTATTTTGTGTATGGGATGCCGCCATAGCATGATTTGATGAGTGGTGCGTATGTCCACGCCAGGGATCCGAACCCACGAACCCCAGGCCGCTGAAGCGGAGCCCACAAACTTAACCACTACACCACTGGGCCAGCCCCCATAGCCCTTTTTTAAAGGGGTCTATAGGAGATATTGGGTTGCCTTACCACCAGTCATATACCTGCCTTTTGCCATTAGAGATCAGAGGACACTCAGGCACCAAGGTTAGAATGAAAGTATCTAGATTGTTAAAAATTATAACAATCCTTAGTCTTTATATGGTACTACCAGTGCTGCTGCAAAGATTTCAAGTGATTTTCCAATTGTCTTCTCATTCATGTAGCCATCATCTCTGAGAGGGAGATAGCCAAAAGTTCTTAACTCAGCATTCCTACTGGTTGGGTGAGTCAGGTATGGGTCCATGATCATGGTGGAATTAAGTCATGATTTACATGACTTGCTCTGGTGCGCTTTCCGGTAAATTTGTAGTAGATTTTACCAGCTATGTACTTCCCTATATGCAGCCCCTTAAAGCATTTTGTGATCTGTTGGTCTCTTCTTCCCAGGAGGTTGCCCCAAAGCCTGTTGTGATCTCTACCCCGACGCCTACCATCGTTCGCCCTGGCTCCCTGCCTCTCCACTTGGGCTATGATCCACTTCACCCAACCCTTCCCTCCCCAACCTCCGTCATCACACAGGCGCCACCATCCAACAGGCAACTGGGGTGAGTAAAGAGAGCAGGGAGAAACAGTGAAGCCTGAAGCTCTTTCCTCTTTGTGAAGTTATTTCATAAAACAGGGACTGTTTTTGATGCTCAAGGGAAACAAGTCACTGAGATTGTCTCTCAAAATAAATTTTTCCCCCCATAAACAGAATCTCCTTTACCTTTTTAGTAGACAAGCAAGTATTTATTTTGGGGGTAATACTTCCTTGATTTGGAGGTTTAATACTTTTTCAATCTAAAAGAAGAATCCTGGGCCGGCCCCGTGGCGTAGCGGTTAAGTGCGTGCTCTCTGCTGCTGGCGGCCCGGGTTCGGATCCCGGGCGCCCAGCGAGGCACCACTTGTCAGGCCATGCTGTGGCAGTATCCCATATAAAGGGGAGGAAGATGGGCACAGATGTTAGCCCAGGGCCAGTCTTCCTCAGCAAAAAGAGGAAGGATTGGCCTGGATGTTAGCTCAGGGCTGATCTTCCTCACGAAAAAAATAAATAAATAAAATAAAAGAAGAATCCTTAACACTTTAGGAAGTCCATCATAGTGGTGGAGGCCACACAGGAAAGTGTATTTAGTTCTTGACTTCAATCTATAGAATCTTATTGGGGCACTACTGAATGAGGAGCAGAAACCCGCTAAGTCATCTTTTTTGAGTCTGGTGTTCCCCTCAGTCCCAGGTAGGGCTCTTGGTCTTTCCTACTCCTAATTTTGTTTGTCTGTTTGTCTTTACCCCTGGCATGGCCCATACAGATTTCCTAATGGGATGACTGGAGACTCTGTCCCCAGGTACCCATGAGTTGAGGTTATTGTCAGGAATCAGCCTCTTAAAGCTTATTGTTCTGTGGACCCATTAGAAAAAATAGCAAGGGACATCTTTTTTGGGCAGGGTAAAGCAAAATGTGGAAAGGAATAAGAGAAACGTATTCATATTTGGCTATCATGTGATGTAATTCAGCTTTGCAAAATGACATCTTTGGTCCAACCTGCCCTTGCCTAAGGCAAGACAGAATTTATATGCGCCAGTGGTAGGAATGTTTGTTTAATTGTTCTCAACGCCTAATAGGATTAGCTTCCCACCCATTTGAGTTCAGTGGTGTTTGCTTAATTTGCAAGGTGTAAAGATCTTGCAATTTCTCTCCATCTATAAGGTAAGGTAAGTAGCATTCCCTGCTTTTTCCACCTTCATGAGGGTGTCAGGGTTTTACAATGCTGCCCTGTAGCTTCCCTAACTAGAGAAGACTGGAAAATCTGCTATAATTACAGGAGGAAGATCCATTGGCAAAAGGGCCTGTATTATGACCCCTTCACTTCATGTCTCCTCTAGGTCTCCCACTGGCTCCCTCCCTCTCGTCATGCATCTTGCTAATGGACAGACCATGCCTGTGTTGCCAGGGCCTCCAGTACAGATGCCTTCTGTTATATCGGTGAGCTCTGTAGTTGGGGCAGCCAACCCTACCAACACACTAATCCCTCCCTTCCACCTGAATGCTCGTAAACACACAGGAGCCCCAGGGAAACGTGGGCTCTGGTCTGTGTTAGTTGAGCATGGCAGCCTGCCGAAACTCTTCACTAACCTCTGCCAATCCAGCACTATGGAACACTAGACAAAGACTCATCTGGACAATTGGCTCCTGGTCTAGGAATTGATTTGCCAGCCTGCTGATTGGTTGATTTCACTTGGCACTTAGCACCTCCCAAATTGCCCACCACTCTCCTCAAGACACAGTCCCATCCTGTCTCACAGAAATTGTCACAGCACTAAAGGATTAGATTCTCTACCCTGTGGTGCTCCATAGGGGAAGGTATTTCTCAGGCCGTCCCCACATACCCTGTGGGCAGATTGCACAGAACAGGCCCTGATGTGCCAATCTCAAACGCACTTCATTTTGGAAAGCTGTTGCCCCACCAATAGTATTATGTTCCCTTCTGGTTTTTCTTCCTTCTCTTGATCCAGCTGGCTAGACCTATGTCTATGGTGCCCAACATTCCTGGTATCCCTGGCCCACCAGTTAACAGCAGTGGTTCTATTTCTCCCTCTGGCCACCCTATGCCATCAGAAGCCAAGATGGTGAGTATATCCCAGCCTGGGGCAATGTTGGACCTTCTGAAAGAAGTGGTATCAGTCTAGGTTTTTCAAGTGAGGCAAGCAAAGGAAGCTTCTGGGGTTTGCAAAGCTAAAGACATCTTGTGGTGGGGTCTAGAGAAGAAAAGACCCTGATTCATGACTCCTCTCTCCTCTCTTCCACCTTTAGAGCCTGGTACATAGACTATGGCAGTGAAAAGAAACAGCACAGATTGTTGGGAGTGGGACACTTGCTGTTTTAGTTCCAGGGTGACAGATGGAGGGTGGATGAGTGGGCAGGAGAGCTGGCCGAGAGGTGAAGAGCTGCATAAGCAGCCCCTGGCCAGGTTCCAGGAGAGCTTTCGTCTGGACTCTCTTGCTTCAGCAACCCCCACCCTCCAGCTGTGCCCAGGATGACAGCCAGGGAATAGAGGAGGCATTTTAGGGATCCAGGTGCACATTCTCTCTCCCTGTCATTTTCTTTTAATTCCTCTGTTAAGGGAAAATTGGTGTGGAAATTTTAGCTATCTGTAAGGTCAGTAATAAAATCTAAGCCCACTCTTCTCACCCTTGATAGAATCTTACCCTTGACAAGCTAACTTTTCTTATCTTTCCCCTCAGAGACTAAAAGCCACCCTAACCCACCAAGTCTCCTCGATCAATGGTGGTTGTGGAATGGTAGTGGGCACTGCCAGCACCATGGTGACGGCCCGACCTGAGCAGAGCCAGATTCTCATCCAACACCCCGATGCCCCATCCCCTGCCCAGCCACAGGTCAGTTGGGCCCTTGGATGGGGGAACCAGTTTTGTCACCATTACTCTTTATGTCATATCTGTTTTTCAAAGAGCAGAAAAATTAGAGAAGAATGGATTTCAGCTTTCTGGGCATCTTCCTGCACTTTGATTCTTGTTGACAGTTTGACAGCAGCAAAATACACCATTCTTTATCCACCCTTGTGTTATACTCACATGCAAACAGGCTGGACAATGCAGAACTGTCACAGAGGAGGTCTCGATTTTTATTGTTTGTTTTTTTCTGTATGTGAATGATGTATCTGCAGAGCCTTCTACAATGTGACAGAACCTCACTTTAAACCACTTTATGCACTAGACAAAGGAGGCTCCTCTAGTCTCTTTCCTGTCTATTAAGTCTTACCCAAAAAAACTTACCTGGTTAGATTTTACAGCAAAAATCGGAGGGATAATAACAATATATAAATAAAATGCGATATCGCAGTATTAAGATGGCTCAGTAAATGAACAGACACACAAAAACACCTTTTCCGTATCAATTTAATCTCTTCTTATCACAGAGAAATTAAAGTCTTAAAAAAGCCAGAGCAGTCTCATTTAGATTCCCCATTTTTTCTCAAGAAGGCCTCAGTTTTAATAAGTTTCTTTGCAAACTAAACAGGCCTCAGTTTTTGTATTGTCCTTACTGGACAGGTGACAACAACCTGAGATGGGTTTCTAGAGTTACATCCTTTGCCCAGCCCCTTTTCCTGATGTCACCACCTGCTTCATCAGTTACCGCCACATGTCCTAACATTTAATGGCCATATGCTGCCTTCAAGCTTGGCCAACAACAACGCCTTCCTTTGAGTTTTCTTGTTGGAAGCTAAACCTGCCCACCCTCCTGTAACCCCTTCCAGTGCCAGTCCCTGGAGATGGGAAAGCAGTAGTCCCCTTGCCCGAGTTGTGCCCCTTCCCTCTTGAGGAAATGACATGACTTCCTTTTTAGTCACACTAATTCCTTTCCTTCTCATTCTTCCCTTCTTTCTCGTGGCCTATTCTTTCACCTCCGTTCCCTGCGAGAGTTACTGAGTTGCATGTGAGAGAACGGGAACGTGTCATTTCCTTTTCCCCATCCTCCTCAAGCACCGATCTTTACATGTGTTCCGGTGAGCTCAGGACAAAGGAGAAATTGAAAATCTCAAGAGAATTAGTGTAAACTTCCCTTAGTGCAGTGAGAAGCAGTGATCCAAGGCCTCTAGTTCATTAAATTGAGTTTGAAATTTCCTCTCCATTTTTTTCTTTTGGGAGAGATGATACTAATCTGAATAAATAAAATTATCTCTGATTACTATATTAATGGAGGACATGATTCAGTAGGGCCTGAAGTGGAGTTTAAGATTCTATTTTTTTATAAGCTCGTGCTGATTCTCATGCAACTGATGTGAGCTCCGGCATTTGGGAACAACTAATATAGATATTCCTTAATAGTGACAGAACCAGGAAGAATTTATTTTTGGCATTGTTTTACATTGTGTAGTTTCTTTTATACAGATGATTGACCTTTCTGCATTTTAATTTGGGCCACTATTATTAAATGGGTCTATCTTCTCTGAACACATAGCAGCTAACAGAAAGGGAAGAGTGCTTTGGTGACAAGAGACACCAGCCTAAAGTTTCAAGACAAAAGACAATCTTATATAATCAATCTGTAAAAGGATCAAAAAGTGTTTTTCTGTTTAAAAAACAAACAGAACAAGCAAGGCAAGGGGGTTGCTGAGGATGATTAATAGCTGATTATAAATAGAAAGAATATACTAATCCATATCTCTCCATAATAGCCCATATCTCACTGGTAGTGAAATCTTTTCTCCTTTTCTGAAACTTGTTGTAGCATGCAGTTGTTTGTATTTATTGCTTGTCCAAATCGGTGATTCCCAAACTTTTTTATTCCACAGTCTCCTTAAAAGTTGCCCTGACGCCCCCCTCCATTACAATTTCCCTGCCTCTAAGAGTCCATATTGTTGAGAAACAAAAGTGATCCTAGTTTCGTTTTGTCTGTCTCAGAAATAATCAGAGTTTCCAGCTGAACTGTGGTTTGTCTAAGTATGGGACTGAGAAGACTGAAAAGAAATGGGAGGCAGGATGAGGAACTACTACAAAAGAGAAGCTAAGGGACATAGTTATGAGACTTGCTGTGGTTACAGAGATTGGTACATCCCTTTACCAGATCTTTACCAGATCTTACTAATTTACCTAATGTCAGGTTTCATTTGGAAAGAATTGATGTTCCCTTCAAGTAATTCCTCTTCCTTCCTGGGCAACAGGTCTCACCAGCCCAGCCCACTCCTAGTACCGGAGGACGACGGCGGCGCACAGTGGATGAAGATCCAGATGAGCGGCGGCAGCGCTTTCTGGAGCGCAACCGGGCTGCAGCCTCACGCTGCCGTCAAAAGCGGAAGCTATGGGTGTCCTCCCTAGAGAAGAAGGCAGAGGAACTCACTTCTCAGAACATGCAGCTGACTGTGAGTGGGTTCTGGATGATATTGGATTGTTGAATCTGGAAGTGGGATTGAATCAGAAAAACGTGGGACAATATAATAGAAGATGGTAATTCTTTAAATTAGGACACATCCAGAAGATGTGCCAGGAAGAGTGCAGAAAGAATCTCTTAACAGCCAAAGTTGAAACCTCTTCCCCTGGGATTGGAAAAGACACCATCTACTCCCAAATCTGCTACTAGAATGAGTCATCCACAGGCCTGTGTGGATGAAGGGAATTAGATTAAGCGCCCCAGGGTGCTCTTTTAAGTCATCAGTAGAATCTGACTGAGGTCATGGAACACCCAAAGGGAAATGTATTTGCCCCAGATAATGCAGCTTAATAAAGAAAGAAAAAGCCACACAAACACAAAAAGAACCATTATTATCCAGATATTTTCTTGAATATTATTTTCCCTTCTTCTGATTATTAAAATATTTCATTACAAAGGTAATATATTGGGCCGGCCCCGTGGCTGAGTGGTTAAGTGCGCGCACTCCGCTACTGGCGGCCCGGGTTCGGATCTCGGGCGTGCACCAACGCACCGCTTGTCTGGCCATGCTGAGGCCGCGTCCCACATACAGCAACTAGAAG